GTTATATTGGGCCGCTGTGTAGCATTCAGGTCATTCTCTGTCTGGAAAAATGTGTTTTAGTTCCTTGGCCCTTACCTTTATGCCAATTTTTTTTCTTATTGGCAAACAGAAACAGCAGGTGGGAGGGGCTGCTGTGTGTCTTTAGCATTCTTTCAAATAAAAAACTGTCTAAAAATAACAAACCATTTAGAGCAGTCTGAGCTTTTGGCTCACTTGGATTACTTGTGTGTACAATGACCTCATTATTTGAGGTTTGTGCCAGACAGAAAATGAAGAAAAGCATAATAGGTCCGCTTTAAAGGATTTTTGAAGTGATACGCAAATATACTCAACATACTTGCAAATACAACTTTGAAATAAACACATTCAGATGAGCTCAGGGAAAACTGAATTGTAGCAAATGTGTGATAAAGTCGTTATCAATGAGAGCTGAATGGTGGTTGAAGTCTGTGATTGTATAAAGGAGTTTTCAGGTTACAAATCCCTAGAGGATGTACTTTGAGCCAATCAGTGGTAGGCTTTTGTGCAATAGTTTGGTTGGTTGAATGAGTAAATCCAACCCCGAGTGCTGAAAAAAGTTCACTCTGGTTCAGAATCAGATAATATCCTCTTTTATTGTATGTCCCCTGCACTGTAGTACAGCTTTATGCTTTCATTTGAACAATTTTGTTTGACATCTCTGCATCATACTGTGGCCTTGCATTGCTTCATTAGAAAAAAAAAAGAAAAAAGAAAAACACAATCCTTGTGGTATCTTCTACATTCTGTAGGAACAGTAGATGTAAATGTTTGTACATTGTACAGCACCTTTATAAATACTTGCCGAGTGCTCTTTTGGGGAGAAAAAAATAGAGGTATATTAAATCGCTCCATTATTTTTTTATGTAAAAAAAGAGAAAAATATTTAAAAATGGATTGAAAAGGATAGGCAATGACCTTGATATGGTATTCTGTTCATGCACTGAAAAATAAAGTTTTGCTGAAAACATGTTTCTGGATTTGTTGTATTGAAACTGAGATGCACATAAAATGATAGTCATCATCTTATCTGTATAAATGTAAAGCAAATAACAATTCAAGTGTCACACTTTTGACATCTAAGTAATTTGTTGCATATATGATGCAGAAGTATATGCTACTGTTACTATGGCAGATTTCCAGTTGTCATGGTAACTGACTGAGCTATAGTTTTTCAATTACAAGAGAAGCTGTATATATTTCCAAAGCCATCGTGTCTCATGTGAACATATTTAGAATGAGAATGCGAATCTGCTCAGAGCCCCAGTGAAACCCTAAGAGCGGTTTTGAATCCTCTATAAATTTTAGGCACCATGAAAGGAATAAATGATAAGATCTAAATGTGGTTAGGTGTCCTACCATGCATTTTACACAAAGTTGAAACACTTCAGTAGAAGGCTCATAATGTATTACAAGTGCTTCGAAAAGATTTAACTGCAAATTCAAAGTTGTAAAAGAAGTACATGCTTGGCCTAAGAAGTTACTTGTGCTAGATTCTTCAAGCAGTAATTTAAAGTTGGGTTAATTCCAAAGAATCACAGCTCAAATATCTATTTCAAAAAAAATTTAAGCAAGGCTTAACAGTGCCTTTTTTCTGAGTATTTTGTGTCAAATTCATTCAGTTAGAGAGTAATGCCTAAGATTTTCACTACATGCATTTACAGTTGTTCATATACAAGCTTCAGCTGAGCTCTTAAGGGTGTTTTAACTGTTAAAACTGTGTGTAAAGTACTGAACCTCTGCATCTCAATCATGCTAAGAGTTTCCCCTCTGAGAACAGCTCAGCCATTGGAAGAGCAGCCTAAACAATGAGTGGATGACTTACAATCAACTTAATTGTTTTAAACGGCTGAAAATCATCATATCTTGTGTTCTACTTTTGGTACTGGGATGAAAGAATGTGTTGAAGACAGGGTGCAGCTAGACTTTCAGCATAGAAGCAGCAGAACATTCCCAAGGAACTCTTCTGATAAGATAATATTTAGAATCACAGTTATTTAGAAGAGGCTTTACTTAAGGAAAGGTACTAAAGCAGTGCACTCAAAAGGATTAAGTAAAAGTATGTTAGTATAATAAGGAAACCATACTTGATATAGAGCAGGAAATGGCCCTGATAAGTCCCATTATCATTCCTTTAATGGCCGCTTAACGTTGACTCAAAAAGTCGCTAGAATTTCCTGTCAAAAAAGACCAAATTCAGAGCAGAAAGAAGCCTCTTTAGAGCCTGTAGGAGTAGAAGTAGTGACTATAAACTCATTAGGTAATTTTGTTTACTGAGGTCTCAGATCAAGTGGAGTAAAGAGCAGTTTTCCCAGTGACCTCCATGCAGTAGGAGAGATTTTTGAAACCAGAAGTATCGTCCCCTGTTGACCAATATAAAGAATAGTACTTTCAGGAATTAAGTATTGGTTTGACATCTTTGGAATCAGAAACTACACTCAGCGTTTATATAGGGTGTATGATCATACGATCATTTTAAAATCTGCAGATGTTTTAGTCTCTCTATGAAAGTCCAATATACAACCTCTCATATTCCAGTATACATGAAGACACTCTTATAGGCACTTTTATAAAAGTAAGCCTCCATAGAGGATGTGAGGAGGTGTACGAAAACTACAAAGTCACTGACAACATCAAGCAATAAGGGATGAAGTAACTACTGGTAATATATGTTATTACTTTCTTATTATCAGTATCAATATTATTATTTTTATTTTATTTATTTATTGAAAAAAGTTGTTACAGTGGTTCCAATATAGCATAACATAAATGTTACAGACACAAAATAGATGAAAAAAATCTAATAAAAGAAGTCTTTATTGTATTTTACTGCATGTTACAGCAACAACCTCCAAGTCCTATAATGGAAAAATAAACAACACACACTTTATTTTGTCACTTAATAATTTAATTAGTTACTCTTAATAAAAGTGACATTAAGCTTGTTGAGACTATACATTTTGATGGATCACAGCGACCACATTTCTTAAATTGCAGTTTATCTTTTTAGCACTAGATGTCACTGAAGGACATTAGTTCCTTAAAACTTTTTTCCCGCCAGTCATCAGTTGTTGGGGTTTTTTCTGAATGAAGATTCATTATTTCTTGTCACCATTAATGACAGTAACAGAAAAATGGATGTTGTGGTAGCATGAATGAGATGAACATTTTAATCCTGTAGATTGATTAAAAAAAATGTGATACTGAGGGGAAAGGCATTTCCAAATGAGAACCTTGCATGCACAGACCTGCCATGGCATAGATAAGACGATGCTTCAAAAGAAGGTGGAGTTAAACTGTATGATAATGCCACTGTTCACGTCACCTTATTGGTATGTCTCATCATTAGAAAAGCAGGTGAATTATTCAGCAGTGTGCTGTAAAATTGGCACCCTCTTCTCCACATTATCCGACTTGATGAGAAGCAGATGGGGGCTGCTGAGAAGGGAGGTGTCTTAATCAGTCACTTGAACATGGTGTTCTGAGAGATAAGAATAGCAAAAGAGACCTGAGCACAAGACGTTGCTTGTCTCACAAAAAGCAGTTACCCACTAATGCTACTTTTTGAATATTCCTTAAAAGGGAATAAGGTGCACCGCATACTTTTTATAGTTTACATTTGATTGATTTTTACATCACTGCACTCACAAATGGGTTGGGGCTCTAATTTCTTTCATTAGTTTACTTTTTAGAGTGATGCAGGCTGCCTCACTAAAAAAGTGGATCCCATATGCTGGTGTTTTCGCACTTCTTAAAAACACCCCAGTCTTTTACTGTACAGATACGGGCCACTTGCGCTTTGTTGTCCTGTTTCTAAGTGATACTAGATGGTTTCTCTGGCAACTCTTGGGTGGAAAAAGAGGCAGCCCCTGTCAGCGGTTTTGGTGGTGAGCTTGGAATTTAGACAAGATTATGAGGCAATGAGGCGCAGTCCCCTTGTTGAACAAAGCCCGTATCCATGGTAAAAATCCAAAGCATTTAAAGTGACTCAGACTTTGACTGTATAAAGTGCTACGAAAACCCAGGGAATCCTCGATTTCACAACTTCAGCCATGCCTTTCCTATTTTCACATTTTTGTTTAGTTAAAGTTCGCACCCAAAAGTGGATTTTTTGTTATAGTATATAATGTCTACCACGTATTCCGTTATATAGATTTATTAGAAATAACTGTTTTCACCTTTTGATGACCCGTGAAACAAAAAAGAGGTTTTAAAGATACAGAGAGGGGGTGGCCGATTTCTTTTCCAAGACAGTCATGTTTCACCTTTTCCCCTCTTTGTACTGTTCGGAGATATCACCGCTCCTACTCTATTTGCAGGAACAGATTGGGCAGTTGACTAGGCAGTTCGGGTTGCTGCCAGTTGCAAAAAACCTCTCACATGTATATATAGCGTATAAATTTAGCAGAACTTCCTTTAATACTTCCAAAGCATTTCAAAATAAACGAAACCATTTTTACGTTATATTAAATCCATATTTCATACGCATATAATTATGTCTACATATACATACACACATACCCATACCCAATATATGCACATGCATGTATAAAAACATGTGTGTGTCTTTGAAGGATTTAAACAATAAGACTGGACATAAAGATTGTACATTAGGCCTAAACGTGAGTTGTTTAAAGACTATGAAGTGTACAATCAGTTGTAATTATATGTCATATCTAAACATTTAAACATGTAAAACTGAACAGTAAGAATTTGCACGTTACCTGAGTTGTTTACAGAGTGTGAAATGTGAAGTTGTATGCGCAGGTTATCATTCAGAAAGCTACAAATTCATACATCAATATTATAGTTTAAAGAAAATCACAAACATGTACTTACCTTAAAAGGGCTAGTTTCCTAATTCAGTCGGCAGGGTTCTTCTGGAGAGGGTTCTTCTTTCTTCTAGGCTTTTATTTTGGAGGAAATTACTTCACTTCCGGTTACACGTGCAATACAATCAGCATGACGCGTTCGCAGACAGCAGAGAGTAAAGAGTTGACAGTCTGAGGAGCGGTTCAGGTCTCTCTCTTGCCTCTCTGAACAAGTTGCGGTTAACGTAAGGATTTTCCAGAGTTGGACCAGGATCTTTTTTGTCCTTCTGCGACATGGAAACTCTATTGGACACACAGCGAAGACTCAAGTCCCTGCTATTAATGTACCTCTTGGTCGTAAACGCAGCAGGTCAGTAGTAACACCATTCTCGGGGGAGTCTGCTTAATGAGATAATAATTATCAACCAAGTCACAGGAGAACTCTTAACTAAGAGAGCCATGCTACATTTTTTTACTGTCTGAGCAATAGGAAAAGAAAAGTCGCCAACTTCTATGAATATCTCTGAAATGATCAGCAGCTGTTGAGATATTTACAGTTATACAGTTTTATACATTTCACATTGAATACCACTAGCTGACACGAATATTTGAAATAACTTGTCATGATGAGAAATACCTACTATTCTACCATACAGCGCACTCCTGCGATTATTTTGAAGTAAACAAATTTAGAAAGTGAGAAATAATATTTTGAGCGAAGATGTCAGTTAAGCTAAGACAACCAAAAAGTAGAAAGTTTTTCTTATATTTTTTAGTAGTTGTTTGTTTAGTTCAGTTTACCTGGGTTTACTTATCCACAACTTTAGATTTAGATTTATTAATGACCTCTTAACATTTCCAGTGGGAAGACCTACTGAAATAAGAAATCCATGGTTACTTATTAACACTTACATTACCAAGAGGGACAGGTGAATGCCTGGTTCAGCATTATAATATGATAACATACTACCTAGTCTGTTGAGAGAGAAAAAAAATAGCCACAATTTGTTGTTCAAACAACATATTTGACGTCTTAATACCCTCAAAAGTAAGTTTAACGTTTATTTCACCTGCTAAATATCTGATTTACACTAAGTTGAAGCACATATAATTGAAATCAATCTTGGTATTTTTAATTAGTCACAAGTGGTTACTTGTTTTCTTATTTTGTAGAAAAAAACAACATCAGTAGCAACAGAGATCCCTGTGATCACGTGTTAAATAACCAGACATTCCCAAGTTAGATCTGGGAATGGAGTGTAGTTCCATGACCAGATACCAGTACAAAGCCATAGCCATAAATACTTACACATGTTGATACATATAAGCACGCACACACTGAGGCACCATACATTGAGCCATGTGTGGGGGTGGCTTTATTCCAATGAACTAATGACCTCTGCGAGCACACATACATTACAAACCTACATACAACCATCACAGCACAATGAACCTACAGTGAACCATTTTTTTCTTGTCATTTTGGTTAAGTATTCCCTTTATAATATAACAGCAAGTATCCATTTACAAATGCCAAGATTAGTCAACATTTCTTCAAACAAAAAGGTCCCTGTGATATAAATTTCATTACTATGCACCAACCACATATGTTTAGGCTTTTTGAAGCCAGAAAAGAAAGTGACCCAAAATTCTAACTGTATACGTTAACACACTTATCAATATTACAGCTTTATCAGCTATATAGCTCCTGTATCAAGACACAGGAGAATCTCATGGATTATAATGAATTTTTGATTAAATTAATATTTAGAAGGAAGTTTTAGTTCTTGTTGTTTGTTACAGCCTCGTGAGAGAGGTAGTAAAGAATAAATCTAAAAGTAGAATTTCAATGTGGTTTAGTGTACATACAAATGTGATGTAATGTAGGTGGCCTTGTTTTCATATTTTTTACAAAACACACAAAATAAATTAGTCTTTTTTCCAGAGATAATCTGAGGATCTTCTCTGGAAAAGTCATGACTGATTAGTCAGTAGGCTCAGATTTCATATCTACTGATCGCTAATCTAACCCGCTCTGCGGTAGGTTAGGTTTGGAGGATAAGTCATATTGCGGTAAGATATACTTTAGTAAGAAGTAAACCGCCTTTGTAGTACAAAAAGCCCAGGGTTAATTAGATTTGTTTTTAAAATCAAATTGTATCTATGTAGATATGTTGGTAGCAACTTTTCCTGTTTCTATTTTCCGTTCGTCATTCAGACATTCCAAAATCAATCTCTACAATCTGTGCATGCCAAAAAAAAAACAAAGCAGGTTTTCACTGAATGAATGAATAAGGCTTTAGTTCTTGGCTGCATACTCTAACATCAATTTCATTTCCTCTTGGGGTTCTCTCAATTTAAAAAATAGACCTGCTCCAAAACGTTGTGAATGTAAGCTTACTTATATCAGTCTAACCTTTTGTCTGTTATAGATATAGAATGATCAAATACATTGTACACCTGCATTTGCATTTCAAAGACCAAAGACTTTTGTAAACAAGCACCTGGCTTTAGGCTTTACACTCTCCCCCTTTGTGTGTCTGTGTTGGGAAATATTAGGAAATATGGGGAATCTCTTCCTGTGTGTGCAAGAAAGAAAGCATGCAGGAAAACACATTTTTGTGGGGCAACATTATCTCTTTTTTTCTTTTTTTTTTTTTTTTTTTTTTTTTTGGCCTGTCCCGTTTGGCTCTTTTGCCATCAGAATTGTTGTCTAAAGGCAAAGAAAGATACCCAACGGATTTACTTTACCAAACTGACCATCCCAGCCTTGCCGTAATGGTCCATATCTCTTTTTTTCTTAAATATTCATTGGAAAACTTAGTATTAAGAATTAAGTGCATCTCATCACTAAGGGTATAGATTTTTTCTGTATTATGATGATAGGAACCTATATTTTCAGTGTTTTTATACAAATAACAAAATGTGACTAACTGAAAATAAGGATGTTAACACAAACTTCACCGAAGGAAGTTATATTATCCCTCTCCATTAGGTTATTTATAAAAGTTGCCTTACTAAAAAAGCGATTTCTGATGAGGAATTAGGATCGGCAGATTATTTTCATTCATGTCTTCCACTAAAGCCTATAAGTTATGTATGATATTGGCTGAATTTGTATTTACATTTTTAATCATTTTAATCAAATTTTCATGTTTAGTGTTTAACTGTCATGACTACTGATTTTAAACCATTTTTTTAATTTTACTTCCAGGTGACTGTCCTAAACCTGAGGGAGGGAACAATACTGTCCTAACCAATGAATCACTTCTAAAGAATGTTTTCCCAGAGAATATCATGGTCACGTTAGAGTGTTCTAGTGGATATATTAAAGAAAGCGGCTCTGAATTTATAACTTGCATTAATGATCAATGGACTGAGTCAGAGCTCATCTGCAAGAGTAAGTCTTGTCTACTACTGTTATTTTGTGAGTTAATGTACAGCCTGAAACACCTGTAGTGATATCTGTTGTTTGTTTTTTATGCTACAGAGAAAGACTGTGGTCAACCTCCACCAAAGCCACATATGAAGTTTGATACAAGTGAGGGTACTCTGTTTGGTGCTCTAGTAAAAGTAACTTGTGAAAAAGGGCAAGTATAAACCTGTTTCACCTTCTCATACTTATCTGGTTGAGCATTGTGTTAGAATATAAGAAAATCCAAAAAGAAAAATGAAAATCATGAAGTAGTGACATACAAAAATAACTAAAATATTAATGTTCATTTCCAAACATTGCATTTCTTCATGCTGTAGTGCTAAATGTTGTCTGGCATAAAGTACTGATAAATGACTGATGTCTGTGCAATGGAATGCATTGGCTAATGGAAAATATTTCTAAAGAAAACAAAATACATATGAAAGACAAATAGATTGGTTGTCATAAGATGTTACTTTGTGGTTTCACTGGCTAGAAACTTGGCTCTCCTTCTAACAACGGTGATTGATTCAGTTGTAAAAATGTTTTTTCAGTGCATTGCAATTTTATGACTGTTAAGGATGAACATTTCCTTAAATTAACAAAGCAGCTTTGTTTTCACTCTGTCTTTTAACAGTTACCAAATTAGCGGGTCGAGCTACAAAGAGTGCTATGATCAAGGGTGGAGTGGCAGAGCTTATTGCGAAAGTAAATATCTTCATTTGTTAGCTATCAGTCATAGAACTGGTCAAAACTCTTACTTAATGTTTCTAAGACAAGCATTTATTCAGAAACATTCCTCCAGTCCTCTGTTATGTTACTTTTTTCCCTCAATGTCAGTTATTAATGCCACTATATATAAGGAGTAAAATGTGTTACTTTGTGATCATTTTGTGATTTTTTTTTTTGGAGTAAAGAGGTTTTTCTGTTTCTCAGTTGTAACATGTGACAAACCTGCAATACCCAATGGCAATACTTCATGGGATTCTGGAGATGATCCAGAATACAGCAATACCATACGTTACACCTGTCATGAAGGATACACCCTCATAGGGAGTGATACTGTTGTATGCGATGAAACTGGTGAATACAGTCCTGATCAACCTGTATGCAATGGTAAGGCTGATGCATCAGTGTGTTTTACTTGTTACTTTTAATGTTATGATGCAAAGCAGGTCGAGGTGATCATAATGTTTTGAGAATATTACATTATTTTAGGATCATACAGATGTTTTTGTATTTTTCAATGTCGTTTTTATGAATGTTCTTTATGCTGACCACTTCCAAACCATGCCATATTTAATGTATCGATTTGCCATTATCTTCAGCTTTTAATATTTACCTTTTATAAATGTTCTCCATCCATGTAGTTTACCTACTAACTGGCACACTAATTCTAATAATAATCTAACATTGTATTAACTAAAGCGTAAATTTTCCCCACAAGAGTTGTTGGGGGCAGGGAAGCTATGTCAAGGAGCAACAGCTGCTGCTGCTGTGCTTTTTCATTTTAGTTTTTCCTTTGACATGATATGAAGGAAAGTGTTTTCTGTTTTTATTCCTATTTGACAGAAGTGACAAGAGCGCCAGCTACTACTTCTCGACCACAAGGTATATAAAGAGAAATAATGGATAACAGTGGTTTTACAGAATTATATAAATTGAAATATAGAGAATAATTATGAATTATGTGGTTTTACCTCTTCCATTAAAAAGCAGTTTTTCTCTTCCTCATGCTAGTTGCCATAACGGATTTGACAACAACTGACGCAAAAGTATCCACGTTTTCAGATTCCTCTGCTGCACCCACAGTTCACAGAACTCAAACTGTCACAACCAGTTCAATACCAAATCTCTCAACTTTACCAAAAGGTACAGAAAAACTCTGAATTGATACTGTTTAATCACAGGAGCATGAATTTATTATATGCATGTTGCATGCATCTCAGAAACGACTTTTCATATAGACTTACTGTTATCCTGTTGATACTTAAAAATTTAAAGTGAAAACTTAAACATTTCTTGAAGCTTTGTTGAAACTTGGGGAGAATTATTCTATTTGTGCTGTTCAAAAGTTTTCAGAGGAAAAGCTACTTCTGCCGGTATTCTGTCAACTACATCATCATCCTTTCAAGGTAGAGAGATGTCTTATAAAGCACTCAAGCATTTGAACCTTCTTTTTTAATATTTTGGCCTGTTTTTACGTTACATTGACTACCAAATTGCATATTGTACACCACTGAATGTCATTACTTTGTGGAAAGAATATAAAGGTTCTCGAAGACTTTGAACAACATCAATTTTGATACTTTGTAACTGATTATAATGTCTCATGAGTTGACAGCTAATATAAAGCCATGAGATAGGTCGGTCATAGATTATTCATGTGTATATAACACATTAATTTTTTAATACTAAATTTACTTAGTTAGACTTTAACTTGCATAGTTTAACATTTTTGTGCGTGTGCTCTCTGCCTGAGAACACTAAATTATGAAATGTGAAAATTGTGAAATCTATCTATCTGTCTGTCTGTCTATCTGTCTATATGTATCCTTGTTGCCCTAACAGTTTAAACTGAATACTAAAACTGTGGTTGTTTGTTTGTTTTTTATATATTTTTTTTGTAGGCATGCATGATGGGAATGTAAATACTGCCACGGATAGTGGTGAGTTTTTTAACCCCAGTTTTAATAAGAAACATTTATTGTATTTTTTTCCATGTGCGTTTAACCTTGCTTGTCTTTTTCCAGGAACAGTGGCTGCTGTCGTCATTGGTGCTGTGGTTTTGTTAGGTAATGTATATTGTTTCTTTTGGAATTTATATAGTGCATTTTGTTGTGGAAATGAGAACAAAAACAAAAAATTTCTTTAATTATTTTTTGCAGGTGTAATTATAGGTTTTTTCCTGTTGCACAAGTTTAACATGAGAAGAAAAGGGTAAGTTCCATTTTTTTTACTCTTAACTTCATCATGCATGGCTTACATTTGATTTTACTCTATATGCCTCTGCTACTTCTCTTTGCGTGCTCTGCTCTTTTGACCTTTGAATATTTAGAGCTGTATTTTCAGAACCTATATGGACTTGTACAGTAATATATCGTCAATATGCTGCAGCAGTTTAAATCTATCCACTACATTTTAGTCTTTGAAATTCAGATGTGCGTGTGTGTGTTTCCGGACTGCTGAGGAATGAGGGAAGTCAGGAGGAAATCCTTTAACAAAAACAGCTGTGAACTACAAATCAGCAAAAAAACAAAATCTCTTTGTTTGTTTTTTTGCTGATTTGTATGTCACAGCCATAAGGAATCAGAACATTTGTTATAATAAATTTAGCAAATGGATGGATAGATATTTTGCTGCTTATGCCCACAGAATGCATATAAAAGATGGACCTAGCTGCCTTTACATCTCCATTAGTTTGTGAAGTACCACAACAACCTGAGCATTTTTACCTTCACCTGTCTTTTTTTGAAATCTGACATGATGAACATAGAGCAGATATAACTAATAAACTGATGACACAGCATATGATATGGCTCATATGGGTCATATGGCTCATTGTCAATCAAAATATATCAAAATCACATCGCATTAACATAAAGCAATGTTATCTCCCCTGGCACAACTGGCCTATGACAGGAAAACAGATGAGATTGTTTTTACGTAGAATACTTATATAGACATACAAAGCAATAAATATTGTTCACATTTTTTTGCAATAAAGAGGTTTGATTCATGTTTATTGTTTTGGGGAATTTGTTTGATTGACAACAACTGTGTTTATTGAATGGTTGTCCAAACCAAGACGACTAGGATCGCCTGTATAAATCTTACAGTCACCTCAAAGTGTTTTATATGGTAAGGTTACAAAAAACCTACCTGACAAACAAGTGATTAAGACCAAAAACTCATCAGGAAAGTGTTTACTGAAGTCACAGATGAAGGGATCCAAAGGGTAGCTTTTCTATTTACAACTGAGTTTTCTTTTGTGGTGACAAGAGTCTTCCTCTACTAGCCATTAGAAAGAATCTAGGTTTAAAGTGCTCAGTCATTAAACTGTTCAGACATTAAGGCTACATTGATCTCATATATACATTCAATGACAGAGTCATTTTGTTAAGTAATTAATTTCTCAATGTTGAATTGACTAACACCTAACACTTTTTATTGCCAATTAAGAATGCAATAAAACTAATAAATTTTTTAACATAAAAGTAATATAACTCCATAATTCTGATGCAAATTCCTTATTTAATGGCACCATAGCTCATATGACACCAGAGAAGACCAGAAGCCGGGGTTATTACACTTCCAAAATCTTTAGATTGCCTGCCTCACCCAGGTATCTGTATAAAACCATCAAAATACACCAGAGACATATTTAACCATTTTTCTGTCTGTAAGTTTAGGTTGTTAATATTAGTATTGCTAGTGTTGTATTGAAGCCTAAAAAAGAATGATGCATCATTTCCCTTTTTTGCATTACTTTGTGAATGAAGGTCAACTTAATGTTTTGTTTTTTTGCTGTTTTTTTTACACTAGTTCACATGGAATTTCACCTTTATGAAAAGGCCCAAGGATGTACCATCAAACTGTGCCTCTCTGAGTTGACGGGGAAAGACAACTTACTTTCATTGTTGCTGCAGTTCATTTGGCAGATAATCCACCGTGCTGAGCTTACATAGTTAAAGTATCAAACTTGGATTGCCTTTTGTAATATTATATTTGATTTTTGCATTATTTTAAACCTAATTTGTAAATATTTTATTGTACTTTATTATTGCTGCTTATATGCTATTTATGTTATAAAACAGAGTAAATACAATAATGTTGTTTTCTTGTTGTTCTTGCAAAAACATTTTTTTGTTTGCAGCTTTTGATCAATTTTACCACCATAACTTTACATGTCATGTTATATGTTAATGTGTGGTTTCATTTGTCCAGAAGAAAGGAGGTTAGAAAGAGATGCAGTGCATACAGTGTGGTTAATTCAGTCAGTAGAATGAAGTGGTGACTTCTAAAGATACAATCAGCTGCATTCTTTGCCTCCTGACTTTCTTTTCATCATTGTCTATTGTTGAGATCTAAGCTGCGGAAAAAAAGAGTAAACTGCACTCCCATGAGAAAAGGGCTGTGTAGTTTTTTTTTCTCATTATGTTCTTTAGTTTTTTCCTCTTTGATCAGGCAAGATTTGGCTCTATTAAATATGAAAGGAATTTCCAAGACCAAGGAGCAAAATTGATAAAAAACAAACAAACAAACAAACAAAACATAACTGAATGGGTTCATTGGACAGATTGAGAAGCTGTTGTGAAAATGAAAATAATCTACTAGATAAGAGAAAGATTTTATAACCTAATTTTTGTTGTGCATGCTACTATTATGCAGGTTAAAGAACATGATGAAGTCTTCATCACACCTTAAAATGTAAAAGTTTCTCTCCTAGGAGGAGAGCATCAGTGAATGCATTCACTGTCATGTCAACAGATTAGCACAAAGCCATTATGCTGACAAGGGTGTGGATCCATACGGACACAAGCCCAAAAATAAAATGTGATGATGACTGTTTCATTGTATCCTGCTCAAGTGATGTATTTCATTCAGTGTAATACTTCAGCTCTATCTCACGGCAGGATACGCCTTCATTAACATAGTTGTTTGTCTTAGTTATGCTGACAGACATTTAATTATCAGAGGGAAGTCGTTTTTGTTTTTCTCAGAAACCTTGACAATCTTGGCAAAAACAACAATCCACCATAAGACACCTTAAAAATGAAATTTATTATATTTATAAGGTTTTCTCACTGGTCGCATGTCCACTTTGCGTTGGACTTTTTTGTATTAAAAGGATACATCTGAGGAGTCTGTTTTTCTTATTGTAACAAAAACAAAACTAACAATTTTTTGTCCTATAAAAGTTTTTCTTCCTTTGAAGCCATTGTTTGTTGAGCAAAACAAAAATCACGTCACTGAGACATTCAGTCGCAGTATGTGACAAATAAACAACTGAAAATGCCTCTGCAGGAAAAAAAAATTAAATAAATGCAATCCCCCATAGCACACATCACTGTCTGTCTTCAGTAGCCCGAGGCATTTCTGGAGCAGCCATCTAAAGGGGCCGTCTTATTGATGTATTCACAGATGCTCCATGATTTGTCTTAAATTGTGGCTCTTACACTCAATAAACTTTGTCCTCTTTCTGTTGCTCATATATCGTCAGGGTGCTGGACTTTGGGTGGTGACTAATATACTCAGGGAAAAAAAAGAAGGTAAGGAAACAAAATAGGTGTTAGGATTGGAATATTACATGGAGAAATGTACATGCTAAAAATGCTAAAAATTTGTCATTCTATCTCATTACTAGGCAGTTAATAGGACTTGTACTCTGTTTTTTAAAGAGATGTTACTGTCATGAAATTAAAATGACAATCCTTATATAAGGTGCATAAAGAAACAGACCCATTTAGTCCATTGCTAGATGGTTGTTAGGAAACACAGTAATGCTATATAAGATTTGATATAGATACGAACCTTCAAGGGCCTCAGATTTGCATGTGTGTCAAGTGTGGTTGCTTAACTCCTAGCAGGAGTTGGGGGACAAATAAACAAACAAACACAGAGACATGTTTGTTTTTGCAAACCATCCACCAACTGAGACAAAACCACAGATATGAAATGAAAAGAAAATTCCTTGGATTGTCGAAGTAATTCTGTTTCCTGGCACCTAAAGCCTTTGCACAATTTAATCATCCATCCATCCATCAAAAGTTTTGTAACAATTTCAGACCAATACTGCCACCCCTAAAGCCATGCTGCTATCATGATTAAGAGTGAAGAATCTCATTGGGCTTCTCCTTTGAACAGAACATTACAACAAACCCTCTAACAACATGATGACAAATCCAGCGTCTGGGGAGGGATGACGCATGAGGAACTCACAATATTGGCCAGTCTTTTAAAAGGCTTAGTCACCTAGTTGTCATCAAAGTGGCTTACCCTTTAATTACCAGCCTTGATCCTTTAATTCCCACCAGTCTTGTGATTTTCAACAATACTCATTTGTGCAGTTAACAAAAACAGTTTTCTGTCTAATTTTCATATATTGACCAGCCAACTTTACCGATCCTCTTCTGTAGCTTTAACAATCAAATAACAAATACAGAAGTACAAAAACGAATGGAAAGTTGGAAAAACAAGTGAAAACAGAAAACAAGCTGGTTGTCTTTCGTGTCTGACCAAGTGTTCCACTCACCAAATTGTGTAACATTTATTCTGCCTACTCTTTAACTTTGTTTTTCCACTGACCTGCCACACCCATAGCAGCTCACTATGTATCATCACTGTCATAAAACCTTAAAAAAACTGTCACTGTCAGAAACTCTTTAAAAAGAACTGCAAGAGCAGATTTACAGGAAAGAAAAATAAAGGAAGGAAGTGATAAAACCCTGGCTTTCTGAGTTCCATGTGCTATGCATAAGGTTATACTTAAAAGTAACTCCATTAGCTCCTCCTGATTTTCCATTAGACTTCCATGAGCTTTTGTCCTGTTTGTGAAGAAAAAAGATGTGGTCCTGTTATCTCTCTTCATCCTCTTTGTGGGTTTCCTAATAGTTTTCTTTATTTTTCTGTTCATATAATAGAAATTCAGACATTAATAATTTTAGTTCATAAGCTTGTTATGTTATTGTCAAAAAAAAATCAAACATTTATTTAGCAAGTTTTAAATCAAATGGACAAGTGGGCTTTAGGCTGGCTCCCATCACATGAACTTCTTAAGATCATAATTAATTTTTGGATTATGTCACAACACAAAGGGGAGGAAATGTTTTTGCGGATGAGGGGCACTGGGTAGTTATTTTCCAGCAACATGGTAAAGCTGGGGTGGGGGTGGGAGCACTGTAACAGTGGAAATGATGCAGTTTTACACATGAGGTAAACAAGAAAAGGCAAAACGTCAGCCTGATAAAAACGTGTAATTGTGAAGTAAACCACTAGCCAAACAGGAAGAGAGGGTATGCATACTTTTGTTTATGATTCACGTGTGTTGTCTGAAGCACTTCCACGGCTACACAAAATATGGTGGGAAATTAGAGAGTGGCTTTGGCATAACTGTTTTGTGGTGGAAAGGAGAATGAGGAAACCCCTCTTTAAAATTGTTCTCATGAGTGGGGCGGATGGAAATCTTTAAGCTGAAGACGAGATATATGATTCCCACTGAGGACTGAGAAGTAGACAAAAAACAGATGTTAAACAGGGATGCCCCACCATCTGTATCACACTGTAAATGTTTACATGCTTTTACTGCAAGCACATTCAACAATATGGAAACCATTACTGTTAGTTATATTAACACTTGTGATGTACTTATATTACTTACAATGAGACTTAATAGTTTTTGTGTAGTGTTGCTTCTAATCAGAAGCATTTTTTTCTCTAAAGGCTTTTTTACAACTTTTTACAAACTGTGGACATTCTCAGCGTTAAATGCTCAGTCTAAACAGTTAAATGCAACCCAAGAGTTTTGTGCATAGGTTATAGGTTATAGAGGGAGTCTAGGTTAAACTCCCTCCATATTTTTTCTAACAGTAGAGTTGGCTCAGCTTTGTGGATTTCAGAAGGCGAGGACGCTTGCCCACCATTTCACACTGACTTTTAGTGTGCCAAATGTCAATACAATTTCTTTAGAAGCTGTCATCGTCCTGAGGTGTTGTTTTTTCTGTTTTGGACCATATTACATATTTGTTTCTACTGTATTTTTTCTCATTCTTACTGTTAGGGTTATCGTGGCTCAAGAGTTGGGAGTTCGCCTTGTAATCGGAAGGTTGCCGGTTCGAGCCCCGGCTTGGACAGTCTCGGTCGTTGTGTCCTTGGGCAAGACACTTCACCCGTTGCCTACTGGTGGTGGTCAGAGGGCCCGGAGGCGCCAGTGTCCGGCAGCCTCGCCTCTGTCAGTGCGCCCCAGGGTGGCTGTGGCTACAATGTAGCTTACCATCACCAGTGTGTGAATGTGTGTGTGAATGGGTGGATGACTGGATATGTAAAGCGCTTTGGGGTCCTTAGGGACTAGAAAAGCGCTATATAAATACAGGCCATTTACCATTTTACCATCTCTGTCTCAGCTGTCCTCTGACCACTTTCTGTTTTACTTTGAACCTTTCTCTTGTCTGTTGTTTTGATTTTACTTACTGTTTCCCCCCCCCCTCCCTTTCCTTTTTTCCACCTAGCTTTGTTCCCAGTTTTTCAGGTGCATATGATTTTGTCATCGAGGTTTCTGCTTTATTTGCCTCTTTTTTGGATTTTGACTTGTACTTTAGCGAGTAAAGGCTAAAGGAAATTGTTTGTTTCCATCTGCCTTTGTGCTCTGCGTGAGCCCGCTCATCAGATAACAGCTTGATGAAATGCCTTACAAGTTGTTTTTGCAATAGTCCCTAACATTAACATTAGTATAAATACAGAACTAAAATGTCAAACAGCTTTGGTGACAGATATCTGAAGCTTGCTAATGTTAGTTAACATTGGATGCTGTAAACAAGTGGTGATTCCAGACTAATCAAAGCTTTACAAGCCAAGTTTTGTTTTGTTTTTTTAAGTTAATGACAACAACCTCATTTTTAAGAGGTTACGATATTCTCTTCTTAGTCCATAAGTGTTGTCTTGGTAATAAAATGACTGCAGTGCTTCTAAACATCGTGTCTGCCATGACCAATCTGTCATTTGTTAGTTTTCTTCCTGCAGCTGCTGAGGTCAGGGGCAAATTATATCATTTTAAGCAAGCAGTGATACTAGTCTTACTAGACCACAGAACAGGGCTTGGTCACAAATGGATGAGGCAGATGACGTCATGTTTAAGAAACTCCCTATGACTCACTTTTTCTTTATAGTGGAAGTAAAGTAAGTGAAGTATGTTTTTGTTTGCTGTTGATATAGAAACTCACTCTGATGACGGCTTCATCTCCCCAGTTTCCTTCTTTCCAGACACAACAGATGAAAATAAGGTCAAATTGAGATTTACCCCATTGGATGACAGGCTTTCAGTAGCCTCTTTCATGCAATTTTATTTTACCAAGACTTCACACTTTTTTTGATAAGGCTAGCAGCGGGAAATCAATAAAAAGCTGTGTTAGATGACACCACTTAGCGGCTAACCCTGTTACTCTCGGTTAAGAGAAAATGTCAGAGGAGGATTTGGGAAGCAGTAAGGAGACCTTTCAGCTGGTGGTTCCACATAAGCAAAGGATGTTAGAGGTGGTGGCAGATCTGTAATTCATGAACCTAATAGTAAATCCTGCCTAACATTTACTGAACTGTAATAAGTGTGTTACCTGACTGGTCAGTGACTATAATTAATCATTCTGTAGCTCTTTTAGATATAATTCTTAAAGACAGTATGTCCCCATACTTACAAAGAGCAAAATTCAATTGGAGTGTAGCTGTTGTCAGAAAGAAACAAAGCAAAACTCTCATTGGCAGCCTGTGCACTTTTTTATCATGTCAGTTTTGATACTTCACATAATATAGTATGAAATATGACTCTTTAAGTGTAAATAGGTGGGTAATGAGAAAAAAAATATCTATATAGTGGTCAATTTAGTCTGATTTGTGATGTAAATACAGACTTAAATTAATCGTTATGTAGTGGTTAGATTGATTCCTGGCAACCTACTATTAACCTTTTCAAATTATGCATTTCTGAACCCTCTTAGGTGAGGTTAATCACTCAGAAATTTTAATTAAGAATTTTCAGTAATTTATTCAAAAAGACCCCAGTTTTAATGCATGTGTCAGCTACGTGAGGTGTAGAGGGTGAAAAGGTTGCCATTTAGTGGCTTAATGTTTTAGGCTAATACTGGTTCTTGTTCCCCATCTAGTGTCCAGGTAAATGAAGCGCGTGAGAGTCTGTCAGGCACATATTATATGATTACATGCAATAATTTAGCTTAAAGCTCATAAACAAGAAAAACAAATCCTGCATGAATACTGGATAAACTGTAGGCTATAATTAAAAAATGATTCAGCGGCTGATGCTGAGCTTCTCTCTCCCTAAAAACAGTATGGTGTTGCTACTAAATTAATCCAAAAAGTTTAAAAACAAAATATATTACACATAATTAGATAATATTGATAGTGTTAGTGTCAGGCTAAAACTGTTTAGAAAAACTGTCATGTGCATAATTTAAATGCAATACACAGTTTCGATGACTAAAGGACAGATGTACATTTTAAAGAACTACATGAACCCTATACCACAACATCTGGACCAGTTAACCACTGAAGCATATAATCCCTTTTTTATGTTCTTGGAAGAAACTCAGAAGACATGTCTGTAATTTGCAGATAACATGGCTGAGTGACTGGAACATGGCAAAGGGTCTTTTTTCCTTTTTAATCCTTTAAAAAAGTTTTGCTTCACCCTGCACGTTTCTTCCTGGTCTCCTGAATGAACAGGGTTACTCAGAAAATCTTTCACTGTCAGTTCAGTTCAGTAATATAACACCAAATCACAACAACAGCTGCCTCAACAGGCTTTATATCATAAGGCAAAGACCCTACAATAATATACTGCTTCAAGAATTCTTTATTGGCAAGCCTGGACAATTCTGGAGATTGTAGAGCAATGCTGCCATCTAGTGGAATTCCATCTGCAACTGAAGCAAAATCTTTGTTGATAGTCCCTCCACATTGTAACCGATTTCAAATGGTGCTAGACATGATGGAAACTCTGAACACCAGAGGAAAACGGTCAGCCTTGGTAAGAGGGGGAGAGGGGGG